GCTCTGATGATCCTGTTCTCTTTGGTTCTGACTCTTTGCAGCTTAGTTTGGTTTTCTTTGCCCTTGTGGCCCCAGACAGGAGTGGACACGATCACTTTCTCCTGCGTGGTTCTGGGCTTTGCTTCTTCCCTTCTGTCAGAGGCCCTGGCTTTAGTCTGGGATTGGAGGCCCTAGCTAGAACCTTGAGGATGACTGAAGGACAGTCTGGCTTAGACATCCCTTTTCTTTTTCTGCAGACCGATGCAGAGAACTGGGACAATCCTGATCTTCCCACACCTTCTAGAACATTCTTTCATCTGAGCTTCAGAAAGCTCATCTAAGTTCAAGGCTGTGCGGAGATCACAGTGTTTGGGGGGCCACTCTCTGCTTTCTGCACTGTTCCCTGATCCCCTTTCTCCCATTCTCCATCAGCTTTCCCTGCCCCTGAGACTTACAAGGGCCTCTAGAAAGTTCTGGAGTCTCACCTTCTATATCAGGGGCTGGTAAATGACATCCTGATGACCACTTTCAGCTTGAAGCTTGTTTTTGTCACTTCTGGCCTTTTCTTCTTCTTCTGTATATGTGAATGTGTGTATGTGCATAGGTGTGGGTATGCATGGGTGGGTGTGCATGGATACATATGCACATGTGTGTGTGGAGGTCAGAGGTCTAGATCAGCTCTCTTCCTCTATCACTCTCCACTGATTGGCTAGACAGGCTGCCCAGTGAACTCTAGGGATCCACCTGTCTCCATTCTCCCAAGCCCCAGTGCTGGCATTACCCATGCATGCAGCCATGCTGGTCTTTTTGCATGGATCCTGGGGATCCAGTCACATCCTGAGGTTACCTGGTGAGCACTTCACCCATGGAGCCATCTTCCCAGCCTGAATTTTCATATTTTTGAATAGTTTCCAACAAACCAGAAGAAAACTCCGGTTGGCGCAAGAAATGCTATGGTAGTCACTTCATTGTCCACAAGTGTGTCTGGTGGCACCAGTCACGCCCGCCTGTTCCTGTGGTCCACAGCAGCTTTTGAGTTTCAATCACAGAGTTGAATAGCTGTGGCAGACACCCGATAACCTGCCGGGCTGGGTGTGTTGGCTCTTTTGAGGACAATCACTTCTGGGGAAGTTGATGGCATTGGCCCTGCACCAGCCGATCTCAGCCCGTGTCCCCTGGAGAGCCACAGGTGCCCCTCAAAGGGAAGGGTTCACGGTCTGTTAAGTATGAGGAATGCCAGCTGAATAAACCAAGCAGGCTTCTCTTGAGGACTTACCAGAGACCATTTTGCCAAGTGTCCCTGGTTAATCTCAGGGTGAGGGTTTCGCACGGAGGAATCCAGAGTGTTTCTTTTGCAACAGAATAATTCCGCTCTTAAAAGGCCTGGTAGGACATATGGAAGACAAGAGAAAAATGAAGTACAGAGGTCAAGATGAACTTGATTTCCCTCTTCAGAATGGCTGCTTCTTTGGGTTTGGGACACCTGTTGGGACTTCCAGCTTGACTCAGTGGGTCCTGAGTGTCTGTGTCCTGCCAGTCCTACTGATGCATGTGGCTGAAGTGTGCTTTTCCCCTTAGGTGGCTTGTGCTCACCAGCCAGGCCTCCTCTCTCCGCTCCTTTCCCAGAACCGTGACAGGTCTCAGCAGGCTTTGAGGTAGAGCAGTCTGGTGCATACAACTCAGTCTCAAGAGCCAGGTGGCCCCCGCTGGAATGCCAGCCCTGCTGTTCCCTAGTTTGGTGACTAGGGCAAGTTATCAAAGAACACCCTCTTCTGGAAGATGGCTGAGAGCAGCTCCTGTTCCCAGGGTATCTGTAGCAGCCCAGTGTGCTTCCATAGTGGGTGACGTGGCGGCGGCCAGGCAGGAGGGTCTCTTGGCTCAGGCTGGACCTGCCTCCTGGGTAAGGCCCAGAAGGGAAGGCGTGCCTGCCCACTGTGCAGGAAGGCCTTTCATTGGTCCCCTGGGCAGGAAGGACTACCCACAGACCATCCAG